TAGGTGGCGCCAAATACGCATAAAACGAGTGTGCCATGAAATACGTAATGTAATGCGTGTTGTAAAGATCGCGAGTAAAAACTAAAGAAAAAGAAAACCTTACAGCTGCATGAGTCGTGACTGTCATGTTAGCCTGATGGGACCAAACTCCCTTTGTGATTTTAAAACGTAAGACAGTACCCAGATTTGAAGACTACAGTAAGATTTAACTTCTACTGTTAATAAGATTTAAGGTTACTATTGGATGGATAGCCTAAATGTCCTAATTCAGATGGGCTGCCTGTTTTTTTTTTTTAATGGTATATCAAAAAGTGTACTACATAGAAATTTCCTGTTGCCGCATTATTTGAGTGGACATTGCTTTTCCGGTGAGCACGAGTAAGCAGTACATGAGCAGAACGCACATTCATAGAGCGGAATATTGAGCATCGCATCGCACCGCACCGCACCGCACCCTATATTTTTGTCCAAATACCAAAAATGCCATTTTCGGCTTATATTTTTCTGCGGTCCAAATTTCTGTGCATCCCTACAAAAAATATTAAGTGAATTTTAGCTTAGTATGGTCTTTCAGCATCAGGCTTTAGTGGGAGTGTGCTTGTGCATTGGTGAAGTCATCATCCTGTTGACTGCTTTTTCAGCTGCGGCCTTTTGAGCTTGAAGGAGCTGCTTTCTTTTGTGTGTATCCCCCGGTCATCCAAATGAGCACTCAAGCATGGACAGTCGTTTGGCAGAGACAAAGCTCATTTTCTGTCTCACCCTATCTCTCCTCTGCTACCACCTCTTTCTTGTCCACATCTATAGTTAAGCTTCTCTTGACTCCATTTGACACATTCTCATACCCTGCTAGCCGCTCACAGAAACACACACTCGTTTGTCTTCGTTATTCGTCCTTCTCAGCCAAATATCTACAAATAAAAGATATTTAGACATTTATTTTATATAAATGTCTAACATTTAAAGTCTTGCACAAACAATTTCTCAACACACCCTCAGTTCAGTACACTCAAACCTCTACACGTGCTAAACAAATCTTTTACAAAGTTCAGTTTAACAACCTTGAAGATGATTTATGACGTTTCCAAGGCAAGAATTGCAATTACTATTGCTTGTACTTGTGGCAAGGGATTTGAACAAATCCCCGCCCTAAGCATTAAAATTATATATGTAACTCATCCCACATTATTTGTGCTACAACATGAACGATACCTCAAATCAATTGACTTTTGAGAATGCTATTATCTTCATAAGTGAAAACCTTTATGGCATGGTAAACATTAGAATCAGATTATCATCAGAGCTTCTTATTATCATTAAAACGTTTCTTGTTATCATTGTTTAAAAACAGTTGTGCTGCTAAATATTTTTGTGGAAACTGTGACACATTTTCTTGATTCTGAAGAGAAAGTTCAAAAGTATTATTCAAAAGTATAAACAGCATTTATTTTAAATCTAAATCTTTTGTAACATTATACGTGTTTTTACTGTCACTTGAATATATTTGATGTGTCCTTGCTGAATAAAAGTATTCATTTCTTGAAAAAAAAAAATCTCACTGACTCCAAAATCTAGTTAAAAAAACAATAAAGTCTTGCTTTTTCCATTTGCCTAATTTCTTATGCATGTCCCTTCTTTAAGAATTAGGCTAACTGCAGAGCTTTTACAATGTTGAGTATATAACAGTGCTGATCTATGGGCCACCCTACACCGACAGCCATGGGCACGATGAAGTGAGCTATCCGTTTCCTTTCTCCCACCTCCTATATTGGAGCCTTAAGCTATCCAGCTAAAGTCAGGTGTTACGGATCAATGATGAATGAAAAATAAGGCCAAGAAGGTCAACTAAAACAGCCTGAGCCTGTGAAAAGCATTTTTTTCTTGTCTGTTTTTAAAGGAGTAAGTCTCTTCTTTCTCACGTAACACCCTTGAGGCTCCATCTAGTCCTGTGAGTTTGCTAAAGCCCAGCAGAGCAAGTTAAGAAGACAAAGAACCAGAACCGGCACTATGCACTGTGCAAAAAGATTCTTCTGGAACAAATCGGATAACGTTGCCGCTTCCTTGTTTCTTATGTCCTTGTGTGACATACTTGTACTTTGCAACTAAACACGAATGCTGAGTCGGCTTAAATGAAGTTGGAAAGAATGAGAGTATTCTTGAAATGTTTGCAACCTGAATAAACACCACATCTTAAGATTTCTTAACCAGCTAGGTATAATCTCAAAGTTCAAGGGCTCAAGTTTAATCGGATCGAGTTTTCAATGACAGGAGCCTCCCTGTTCTGGCAGGAGTAAACTTTGGCCAGGGAGTGTCTATCTAACTCTCTTTCTTCATTCACACACCACACCTGCCTGCCCTCAGTAACGATGAGATCACTCGGCTACTGATAACATTACAGGTCATTTCAGGCAAGCCAAATCTTTATTGCACTTAACCAAGCATTCGCTTTATTCAGTATGATACAATAAAATATAATGAATCATTCTGCAGCATAAATTACGCCACACTACCATGCATGGCCTGGATAAACGTAGAGATCACAGTCCAAGTTCTTCTTTTGCTTTTTTACTCTCTCACCATCATATGTGATGGATTTGAGTGCTCTTTGTATGCAGACCTGCTGTTTGCTGACTGACGGCCTCCACCTCTTCTTCCTCCCCCATCTCATTCCTTTATGGCAGTGAAACAGAGTTTTGCCCGACTGAATAGGCAGACTGTTGACACAGCTTACAGAAATGCAGCACACATGTGAAATGTCCCTAATGTTAATGATTGCTAGGTAGAGCGCTGAACAGGTGACTCTGGCTCTAAGCAAACAAGTTTAATAAAGGCATTCTACACTTAGAGGACCAATAAGACAATCTATAGGAGGTATTAGGTTCCCACTTAAATCTATCAAAGCCACTTATCTGCTTCTAAGGCTGCCATTATCATAGGCAAAGCATGATGGGTATAGGATGTTGCGGCTGTGAAATGTAGAAATGCTATTTAAAGGTCTACTTTAGGTTTTACAAGAAACATACAGTATGTGTGAAGTGGTTTGCACTCATTTGTGATGAAAACTTGCCAAATGCCAATTTATTTTGTTGTGTGAAAATGTTTGTGTGATGTTGCATCCTGCGAATGACTAGGAGTGCCACTAAAAATGTAAATAGATTAATCAGTTTTAAAATTGACAAACAAGTACATTTAAAACTCTTTATTTCATGTTTAAAACATATTTAAATGTAACAATCACTTTTAATAGTTGACAAAATTATTTTTTATTTTAAATTCATTTAAAGTTAAATGTAACAACAAAATACATTAATAATTACTACATTAATTACTACAATATTAGGCTGCTTTTAAATAAAAGGTAACACTTTATTTTAAGGTGTAATTGTTACACTGTAATTATACATTTAAGTACTGAGTAATATTAATTAAGTACATGTACTTAGTATATGGTTGGGTTTAGGATTAGGATTTGGCTTAGGGTTACTTGCATGTAATTATGCATATTTTATTGTTATTATAATAGTAAGTACATGTAAAGTGTAACAAGGACACCTTAAAATAAAGTGTTACCATATAAAATAATAATAAAAAAACATTGCTTTATTTTAGGTTACACTTTATTTTGTTGTCCTTGTTACAGTGTAATTATACGTTTACGTATTGAGTAATATGAATGTGCTTGTGCGCTATTTATTGCTATTACTATTAGAGCCCGACCGATATGGGTTTTTTTGGGCCGATACCGGTATTAGGGAGTAAAAAAAAGGCAGATATCGATATATCGGCCGATATTCTTTGTGTATATTATAGTACAATACCAGTCAAAAGTTTGGACACTTTCCCATTCGTGTGTCCAAACATTTGACTGGTACTATATATAGAATACAGTATATACATAAACAGAATATATA